ACAATATAATAAATATTGCATGTAGTTGAGTGTAACATTGAAAATTTTCACCCCTCGAAAACCATTGTCAACCTCGACTGGACCTCGGTTGACAATGGTTTTCTTGGGGTGCAACTACATGCAATATTTATATACTAGTATCCAAGACTCGTGAAAAATCTTAATTAATTACGGTTTGGCAAGACCGACCTCTCAAGATAACACCTTTTGAGAGTTAATGGAAACCAAGTCCTCCCAGCCGTCAATGCTAATAAAACTTGATAATACGTGTATTGCTGCACTGTGTTCTAATAATACACTTACTTGAAACAAAAATTTTGACCTAACTCTTTCCAGTCAAATTGAATTTATAAACTCTTTATCAATTTAAAGTATTCTTTGACATTTGAAAAGTAAACCGTTACAATTTTCAATTGTATTTTCAGTCCATTATAAAAGAAAAATTCTGTTGACTGTTCAAAGAGAGCACTGCTGTAAAAAATGGAGTTCAGAAGTCAAATATTAATGCTTGTTGTCCTAGTAATATCCATCTCCAACCTGCAGGCCAACAACAATGACACATCCAACACAACCAGTAAGTAGACATATCAAAAACAACCAGTAATTAGACATTCAACACAACCAGTAAGTAGACACATCCACCAACACAACCAGTAAGTAGACACATCCAACACAACCAGTAAGTAGACACATTCAACACAACCAGTAAGTAGACACATCCAACACAACCAGTAAGTAGACACACCCAACACAACCAGTAAGTAGACACATCCAACACAACCAGTAAGTAGACATATTCACCACAACCAGTAAGTAGACACATCCACCAACACAACCAGTAAGTAGAAATATCCAACACAACCAGTAAGTAGACACATCGAACATAACCAGTAAACAGACATCCAACACAACCAGTAAATAGACATCAACACAACCAGTAAGTAAACACAACCAGTAAGTAGACATATCCAACACAACCAGTAAGTAGACACATCGAACATAACCAGTAAATAGACATCCAACAGAACCAGTAAATAGACATCCAACACAACCAGTAAGTAAACACAACCAACACAACCAGTAAGAAGACATCAAGCACAACCAGGAAGTAAACACATCCGACACAACCAGTGAGTAGACACATCTTACAACCAGTAAGTAAACATATCCAACACAGCCAGTAAGTATACACCCAACACAACCAGTGAGAAGGCATTCAACATAAACGGTAAGTAGACACATCCAACACAACCAGTAAGTAAACATTCATTACAACCAGTAAGTAGACACATCCAACACAACCAGTGAGTAGACATTCAACACAACCAGTAAGTAGACATCCAACACAACCAGTGAGTAGACATTCAACACAAGTAAGTAGACACATCCAACACAACCAGTAAGTAGACACAACCAACACAACCAGTAAGTAGACATATCCAACACAACCAGTATGTAGACACATCCAACAAAACCAGTAAGTACACACATCCAACACATCAAGTAAGTATACACATCTAACACAACCTGTAAGTAGATATATCCATCACAACCAGTAGGAAGACACATCCAACATAACCAGTAAATTGACATCCAACACAACCAGTAAGTAGACACATCCAACCAGTAAATAGAATTCCAACACAACCAGTAAATAGACATCCAACACAACCAGTAAATAGACACATCTAACACAACCAGTAAGTAAACACATCCAACACAACCACTCAGTAAACATCCAACACAACTTGTCTGTAGACAACCAACACAACAAGAAGACATCCAGCAAAACAGTAAGTAGACACATCCAACACAACCAGTAAATGGACATCAAACACAACCAGTAAATAGACACATCTAACACAACCAATAAGTTCACATATCCAATACAACCATTAATTAAACATATTCCTCACAACCAGACAGTAAACATCCAACACAACTTGTCTGTAACCCCTAACAAAACCAGTAAGTAGACATCCAACAAAACCAGTAAGAAGACATCCAGCACAACCAGTAAATACATATCCAATGCAACCCACTAAGTAAACTCATCCAACACAACCAGTAAGTTGACATATCCAACACAACCAGTAAGAAGAAACACCCAACACAATCACTAAGTACACATTCAACACAACCAGCAAAAAGACAACCAACACAACCAGTAAGTAGACACATCAAACACAATTAGAAAGTAGACATATCCAACACAACCAGTAAGTAGACACATTGAACACAACCAGTAAGTAGACATATCCAACATGACCAGTAAGTAAAGACATCCAACACAACCAGTAAGTAGACACATCTAACACAACCAGTAGGTAAACATTCAACACAACCAGTTCATAGACATCCAACACAACCAGTAAGTAAATGTATCAAACACAAGCAGTAAGTATACACCCAACACAAACAGTAAGTAGACATATTCAACACAACCAGTAAGTAAACATTAAACACAACCAGTAAGTAGACACTTCCAACACAATCAATAAGTAGAAATTCAACACAACCAGTAACTAAACATTCAACACAACCAGTAAGGAAATATATCCAACACATCTAGTAAGTAGACACACCCAACACAACCAGTTAGTAGACACATCCAACACAACCAGTAGGTAGACATCAAACACAATCAGTAAGTAAACATTCAACACAACAGTAAGGAAATATATCCAACACAACCAGTAAGTAGTAGCATCCAACACAACCAGTGAGTAAATAGATCCAGCACAACCAGTATGTAGACATATTCAACACAACCAGTAAGTAGACATATCCAACACAACCAGTAAGTAGATACACCCAACACAACCAGTAAGTAAGAAGACACATCCAACACAACCAGTAAGTAGACACATCCAACACAACTAGTAAGTAGACATATCCAACACAACCAGTAAGTAGATACACCAAACACAACCAGTAAGTAAGTAAACACACCCAACACAACCAGTAAGTAGACACATCCAACACAACTAGTAAGTAGATACATCCAACACAACCAGTCAGTAAGTAGACACATCCAACACAACCAGTCAGTAGATAAATCCAACACAACCAGTCAGTAAGTAGACACATCCAACACAACCAGTTAGTAGATACATCCAACAAAACCAGTAAGTAAGTAGACACATCCAACACAACCAGTAAGTAGACACTTCCAACACAACCAGTTAGTAGACAGATCCAACACAACAAGTAAGTACACATATCCAACACAACCAGTAAGTACATGTAGACACATCAAACACAACCAGTATATAGACATCCACCAACACAACCAGTAAGTAGACACACCCAACACAACCAGTATATAGACATCCAACACAAACGTAGACACATTCAACACAACCAGTTAGTAGACACACCCAACACAACCAGTATGTAGACATCCAACACAAATGTAGACACATCCAACACAACCATTAAATGTACACATCCAACAAAACCAGTAAGTAGATACATCCAACACAACCAGTCAGTAAGTAGACACATCCAACACAACCAGTAAGTAGACGCATCCAACACAACCAGTCAAATGCAGATGGATGTCAGTTCTGTGTTAAGCAGATGGACTGATGTATTAATGTCTAACAACATAAGTGTTGTGTAATAATGTGTATATATATATCAGTAAGTAGACACATCCAACACAACCAGTAAGTAGACACATTCAACACAATCATTGAGTTGACATCCAATACGACCAGTAAGAAGACATCTAGCACAACCAGTAAATAGACATCCAACACAACCTGTAAGTTAACACTTCCAATACAACCAGTGAGTAGACACACTCAACACAATCATTAAGTAGACACAACCAACACAACCAGTTAGTAGATACATCCAACACAACCAGTAAATAGACACATCCACACAACCAGTTAGTAGACACATTCGATACAATCAGTAAGTAGACACATCCAACACACAACCAGTTAGTAGACACATCCAACACAACCAGTAAGTAAAAATCCAGCGCAACCAATAAGTAGACATATCCAACACAGCCAGTATGTAGACACATCCAACACAACCAGTAAGTAGACACATCCAACACAACCAGTGAGTAGACACATCCAACACAACCAGTAAGTAGACACATCCAACACAACCAGTTGGTTGACAAGACCAATACGTTCGGAAATTCAAGTAATTGGAAAGGTGGTGGGGGGGGGGGGGGGGGGGGTTAATGGAAGGAGAGAAACATTATGAAAAATTAACACAATATTATTTTTTGTCACAAAATCAGCAATAAACTACATTACTAACAAATTAAATGTTAAAAACTACAACTATACAATTAGTTGTGATGCATCATAACCACCAGAAAGACAGATGATAAACAAGATAACTTAACCATCCAATCAGCTGATAAACGACATAACCACTCAATCAGCTGATAAACAACATAACCACTCAATCAGCTGATGAACAACATAACCACTCAATCAGCTGATAAACAACATAACCAAAAATCCAGGCAATTTACATCAACCATATGACATACATCAAAACATTGACAAAATCAGTTTAATCTCAATTATATTGATTCAGTATATAATGTATTTTTTTCTATAATTTTCCAAATTTCTCAAAATTCCTTCAAATTACAAGCAAAAAAGGGATTTTGAGTTAGAATATCCAAACTTTGTTTTTTGATCCTTTTAATGTGTAAATAGATAGATCTTTAGGTAGGAGACAGTAAAATGAAGACATTAAGACTGTGTTGTTTTCTTTCAGTAGTGCCAGATGATCTTGGATCTAATCCACACAATGATGCATCATGGACTATGGCTGTTTCCGTGACGACATTCCTTTGTGCTGCCCTATTGATTAAGATATTCTAATTTCTTATGAACAATGGCTTCATAATGACAATATGTCATTAAGTGCCCTGACTTTTGTTGTCATTTAATTGTCATGTTACTGTCTTTCAATCCCCCCCCATTTTTTCCCAAGAAAAACATCATACCTGTAAGCCATTCAAAAAATATGCATTTATTAGTTTTTCCTTTGAAATAAACTATGCTTAAAATTATATACATGTAATTCAATGATAATGATGATGATGAAAATTCTGATGATTCCAGTGTAGTTCATGTCAGCCATATTTGCAAGAGAAAAAATGCATCATCAACTTTCTCTAATGTGAATAACTTTTACTTGTAACAAATATACTTGCATCAAATGCATGAATAGGAATTATGTTCTGAAATACTAAAATGAATGCTATTTCTAGTAGAATGCTCAATAATATGTGAAATTTACTTTCAGTATAAAAATATAATACATGTACCGTAATTCCATTCCACAATAAAGACATTCCATGAATAATCTGTGTTGTCTTTTTCAAATTTGTAAGGAAAGTACACTGTAATAACACTCATATGACATTGTGATCTCACTTTCATAATGTAAATAAACTTTTGAGAAGTACCATACAAAAGTTTTTACAAAGTTATAATCATTCTTTGTCTCCTCTGCAACATTGAGCTTTTAGATGCCAGATAACACTGACAATACATATGAAATCAATGTCAAGAATGCTGCCTTTAGTTTACTTTGACGTTATTAACTGTGAATTAACACCACTATCACCATTTGTTCTCTGTTGTCGGCCATTTCAGAATGAGGTTTGTGCCCTCCACTTCAACATGTTCGTAAATCCACTTTCTTCCACATCGACACTCGGTGCCACATTTCTGGGAGCCACATTTAGGGCAGGGGAAGTGGCACCCCTTACAGGAAACGTCTAGACAGTCACACAAGTCTTGGCTGTTCTCCAACAGGATCCCATTCTCGTCGTATACCTGGTTCTTTTTAATGCTGGAGGAAAAGAAGAAAGATATGGGTTTAATGTAATTCTTCAGGTAATCATAAATTCTTAATGTATTTTGGAAATATGACATTATCAAATAATTATGAACAATATCCTATAACAAAAATGTACATGTTTTTCTTTAATGCTGGAAGGAAAGAGGAAAGACATGGGTTTAATGTAGTTCTTTGGGTACTTATAAATTCTAATGCTTAATTTTTGAAAAATGATTGTATCAAGTACAGTGAGGTGCAATTCATTTCAATGTGAATTCTAACTTTAATTTTCATTCCCATTTTTATATTTCCCAAGTTCCTTACATGGTGGAATCTGACATAAATTTTTTCTCACAATGCAATTGGTTTGGACAGGTTTTCTCTCTAAGTCTTACTCTTCTCTTCACATATTAAAACTTGATTAACACTTTTTAATTCATCCTACGTATAATTTTCTCTCTACATATCTTTCTCTTACTTTTCTCTGTATATCCTCCTATTCATTTTCCTCATCTCCCGTGCACTTCTTTCTGGATCGAAATCTTCCATAAACTTCCCTGGATTCCTAAACTTTAGCATCTTTAAATGTTTACTCTGTCAATATTTAAAACATCATTAATTCAAAAAATTATACACAGCATTATCTTTTGGGCCATTTTTGGGCATAATTAACCAAATTAAGATAATATTATGACATTGACGACATCACTATTTAGAGATTTATTCAACAGTGTGGAACAATATATGTGCTATATTCATTATATTAGAAAATCTACAGACATGAATACATATGTTTATAACAACAAAATCTTCAAACAAAGTAAAAAAATTGATATTGCCATAAACAAAAAAAAAAACAATACAAATTAAGTGCAGATATATATAATTGTAAATGATTTCCATGGCTTGGATGGGAGGATTTTTTGTATTGTTCAGGTGAGACTGTATAAACTGAAGTTCCATGTCACAGTCTCACAGTAAGTATTGGCACAAAAAAGACCCCTTACTGATTTATGGATTTGAGTACCAAGTATAGGCATAATCTGCAACCCTCCACCAGAAAGTGGTGGCATCTCCATATGAGTAAAAAATTCTCGAGAGGGATGTTAAACAACATACAATAAATCGATAACAAGCATTTTTAATGTGTTACTTGGTTCTTATTTTTTTGAATGCATATGTCTTCTTGACTTATCCAAAATTCAAGTAGGACTACAATTTCTATTTGGTGCTTCGTTTGTGTTTTTTATATTGCTTTAAAATCCCTCTTAACTTGAATTTCCTCGATAAGCTTACATACTTTCAATGATATTTCCATTGCATTTTAGAGAACTATACTTACAGACGACTCATCATTTTTCCCGTCATTGGAATTGGAATTTTCATCATCTATTGGCTTCACTGAAGAAACATTTGATCTTAATTTTCTTACATCTTCTCTCTGGCTTTCTTCTTCCATTATTTTACCGGAAGTTTCTTTGCACAATGTTTTAGTAATTCGTACCTTAAATGGTTCGTTGTCGAATGTCAATAGCTTGTATAATTTACTCTCTGAGAATTTCACTTTCAGTGTATGAAAAAGTGTGTTCAATTACCTTAAAAGATAATTGCCGAAATTAAGATCTGATATGCCTGTTGCTTGTATTTAAAAAATTAAATTCGTGTTTCCGGAATTATTCATTCCCACTTCTTACTGGTTAAATAACTAGACTGGTTCTCTAAATATGAAAAAGAACCAAACAAACATTACCAACAGCTGTCAAACTTTAGGTAAACTGTGAATGCACGTTTTGTGTATTTGCTTTGATCAAGGGGTTGTTCATTTACCCTGCAACACACCCTAATGATCAAAGCCTAAAGTTATGCAAAGTCAGTTGTTAGATGCATGCTTTTTTCGATGCATATTACACTGAGCTAGCCTATTATGCATATGTATCTTTTATATAGTTATTACCATTCTTGGGGGTAAGGGGGATGGGGGGGGGGGGTATATAAGTAACAGAATAATGCATGCAGCATAAATTGTAATTTTTTACAATACAGCTAAGCTTAGTGCAGAATCACAGCTGTGCAGAATTAAATATTGTGAATTATTTACAAAAGACACCATGACAGGCTAAATTGACAGCTTTAATTCCTTTGCACTTTCTTTAACCCCCTCCCCAGCAGACACGCATTTTAATGCATATCTATCATTTCTTATTTCTAACACAAGATGATAGATCACACATACTATATACCATTTCTCCGCAATCATTAGCATTTTTCGCACACTTTCCAAAGTACATTTAATCTTCAATTTAATGCAAATCACCTTCTCTTTATCTCTTCAAGAAATCTCTTCAAGACTTGACCTTAGCAACTGTATTAAATAGCCATATTTTTATTGTATTCTAATATTCATTAATATAAAGGTCAAGATCAAAATTTCAAGTAAAAAAATACTACTGGAATTATGTTTCATTTCATGGACACTTCTTGTTTATTGTAGGTTGTTTATTTTAGACAAGGTTGTCCACAAAGCTGGCTGACATCTATCCAAAGATTGACTCATAACATCATCACTTCTCTTCATAGCTGCTGCTAGAGCATATCACAAATTTGCAAACTGAATGATGTAAGTAAAATTTAATTCCAGGGGTACATGTTTTTGCCTTGTTCATGATTCATTTGTTTACAGGATTTATGAAAATGATCCCTTTTCATTATCTTCACATTTTTCACTTCTAATATTTAGCTTATCTCAACAAAGTTGGGGAAGCTTATGTGATACCCTTACATAATGCAAATGGAGGTACATCAAGATCATATCTCAGTACATAAATTCTGGTTTTAAAGAACTAGCTTTGTTGTTACTGTAATTTAAAAACTGCTACAAACTAGCATTAATACTAAAGAGTAATAACTAATATGTGTCTCTTTTTTAATCAATTTTAAAAGAAGAATGATTGCAATGCATTATAAGTTTAGATCAGCAGAGCTACAGTCTCATCATAGACTTTTGAGTTCCTGATGTACGAGTTGTATTTGTATTGATTATTTCTGTGTTTCAGATGGGTGGGTTGGATTATGGGTAATCACAATGTCAAAGGTCACAGTCTCTGGCCAACTCACTGCATGCCAAATCTAACAGACCCCCACCTGGTGGAAGAAAACACAGGAGAAAACAACTCTGCCCAATCTTCTACTGCCCTCCAACTAGACAATTTAATCATAAATAATGACCATGAAGAATTAGAAAAGTTCATTAGCCTGACTAAAGCTGATGTGAATGTAGAACTAAATGAGAAAAAAGAAACAGCACTCATCCTAGCTGTTAAACTGAGCCACATTGAGTGTGTCCAAGTGATAGTGAACTGTGAGTCGTGTTTAAAGAACTGCCTCAATGTTAACAATTGTTCTGCCTTTGATATGGCCTTGATCACTGCTTTTGACAATCGTTTGGAACCTAGACATTCCATTTGTTGGGAAATAATCAAGCTGTTGATGAGGGCTAACGCAGAACCCATGTGTAAGGATGCCATGATGTACATAGTGCGGACGGCCTTCAAGTATCAGGACGATCAATTTCTGCATAATCTCATCACAGCGGCTCTAGAGTGTTCAAATTCAACCATGTTTCATGAACTTCTTCTTCAGAAATTACATCGTCATCAGCCCATCTACGTGGACCCCATTGACCCCATTTTTATGAACATGTCAGATTTTAGCATTAAATTATTAAAGATAGCTCCTCCTTCTGAGCTGGAGTTTATCGTGAACTCGATGTTTTATTACATGGAATCATACTGGCAGTCCCGCAGGAATAAATTCAACACGTTTTACAAACTGATCGTGTACACCATCGCGGCGGGCTGGGTGTGGCGGAGGTCGAACGTGTACCACATTTCTCGGTCCTGTCCACACCTGGGTAAATGGCTGATACAGCAGATGAAGACCCCACTCTCTCTCGTTCACCTCTCCCGGGCCTCTTTCAGACGTCACGTGACCTGCCCGGTTCCAGCGGCCATCGAGGAGCTCCCGTATCCCATTCCAGAGTCACTGAAGCGTTACCTCCTCATTCAAGACATGGATGAATTGTGTACCTCAGGGACCGTTAACCTCAATGAAGTGGCCTTCTGAATCTAGTCATAAAAAAGATAAAACAATTAATGTGGCATTTCTCATAGGAAACCAGCTCTTTTTTTAATCGAAGTAAGGGAAATCTTCACTGTTCAACACTGTTTTAGGAGGATATTGTTTTTAGAGAAAAATTGGAATTTTGACAGTATGCGACTAAATAATAGAAACAAAAGAGTATTAAAGGTGCTAATTTTTATGATCTATATATTTTATTTTTTAAAAATTGAAGATTTTAATTTGAATTGGTATTTCAAACACTTTTCTTTGAAATGAAATGATGCAGCACGTTATAAACTTGTTCAAGGCCATTTTCTTGTTCCCTCTTAAAGTTAATTTTAAGTTTCCTTTCTGTCCATTCAATCTCACATTTTGTTTTCTACAGCCATTTTATGTTTTCTTTTTTTTTTTAACACACTTCATAAGTTTCATAACAATCGGCAATCCTCGGCTGACTCCGCTATGCTCCATTCAAACCTCGGATGAGATAAGTGGAGGAATACGCATCAGATCCTCACATTTCTCCTCCGGAAACTGCCTTATCACTCACTTCATATTTCGCTCTGCATAACTTTCTTCGAAAATGTTTCTTAATTTGTACAATTCTTTATCGTAAACAGGTTTTGATTACAAATTCATGTCAGAAGGCTTCAAAAGCAAGAAAAATCTGTTGAGTGTGCCACAAAATAACTTCGATTTCAAATGTATAACATTTGAAAAAAATTTAAATAAGATCACATGACTGAATCAGCAAGATGGTAGATCACCGTTGACGTCCGAGGTTATGTGCGAGGTACGAGTCATCCGAGGAACTCCGAGTGGATTCATAAAGCACCTTATAATGATGTACATACCAAAAAGTTTTATGTCAAAAATCTTTTCAGGGAAGAAAAGCAGTTTGTTGTGAAGAAATCTTCTAATTCAGTTAATTGAGAGGAAACCTTTTTTTTATTTTCTTATTTTTTATATTTTAAAACTGAAACAAAAGAATAATTTTAATCAAGAAAAAAGTCAAATGTGTTGCACCCTATTAGTGTTACTGTTAATTGTTTTAAAAGTACACTTAATTAATTTATTTTATTCATGCATGGGCTGCAGGTCTATGTGTTTTATTTCTGTATGTTTGATTGCTATGTGTTACACTAGGAGTGTTGCTTATTATGAGTTGTATATACATGAATGTGTAAATTCTATACATGCATAATCTAAGAATATCTCATAAAAAATGATGAAAAATAAAAATGCTATGAATTTGCTTCAAATTTGTTTCACCCAGTTGACCATAAGTCAAAGGAGTCAGGAATGGATGAAGAAACTTATTTCGGATGACACTGAGATTGCACACCAATCTAAGTCACTGAATACACTAACCCCCCCCCCCCCAAAAAAATCAACCCTATACCTAATAATTCCAGTGTTACCATGTATTATAAAGTATGGGGTTAATTTTCTTTATATGAGAAAAATAAGTTATATCAGTGCCTATATTTAAAGCCACTTAATATTTTAAAATCAGCTGAGGAATAAATTCTTCAAAACATGCCAACTAAAAGACATTTTGATATCATAATGGACAAAATTCAAGTCATTACAGAAAACTGTCTGTTTTGGCAAATTTCAGCTTTAAAAGATTGGAAAAACCAGGTGCATATGTTTAAAGCCACTTAATATTTTGAAATCAGCTGAGGAATAAATTCTTCAAAACAGACCAACTAAAAGACATTTTGATATCGTAATGGACAAAATTCAAGTCTTTACAGAAAACTGTCTGTTTTGGCAAATTTCAGCTTTAAAAGATTGGAAAAACAGCTAATCAATAATACCATATCTAAGACAACACTGAATTGGATGGAAGAAGATGGAAATATTGGCTCCAAAAAGATTGTCATATTTTATTTTTAAGGATTTCAAGTTCCAAATGCCAACTTAAGAAGGACTTGCCCTTTTAAGATCATCAGCACTCAAGTGAAATATATCTATGGCCTTTTTTCTGTGTCAGTCTTAAATTTTTAGCTCACCTGAGTTGCAGCTCAGGTGAGCATTTCTGATCAGCTGTCGTCCATCCATATGTTCATATTTTGGTCTCAAAACTTTTTTTTTTTTCATTTTCAACATCTTCTCCAGAACCACTTGCCCAAATTTAACCAAACTTTGTACAAAGCATCCTTGTGTGAAGGGAAGTAAATTGTTAAAATGAGCAAAGGTGTCTCTTCCAAAAATGTGAGTCAGTTCATGTGTTAGAGATTATGGTATTAGGGAGGGACTCTAATAATATAGCCAAAGGCATTAATCCATGGTATCGATAATGTTCTCTGCATAAATCAGGCGCGGATCCAGAAATTTTTCTATTTCGGGGGGGGGGGGGGGGGGGGGAATAGTCGATGACTTCTAATGCTTCAAACCTTTGATTTTTCCTACCAGTTTAACACAAATTCGCGTTTACTTGGGGGGGGGGGGGGGGAGTCCGCGTTTTCCGAGGGGGGTCCAAGGTAACTTTTTTCTTGCTTTAGTATGTAAATTTAATAACCTTGCAAATTCCAGGGGAGTGGGGTCTTGACCCCCCACCCCCTCCCTCTAGGTCCGCGCATGAAAATGTTCAATTTTTCTATTCAAATTTATTGTGGAGTTTAAGCCCGTTGTCCCCACCACCTGCACTTTTTGTTATAGTGGAAAAATTCCTCCCGTTTCAATATAAAACTTTCTTTAAGAGAAAGCTAAAAGTTTTCTTGTCTAAAAGTAGGAACATACCCACCTTACTTCCGCAAACAGTTTTTTGATGCTTTTTTTTCGGGTAATATCAATTCGTTTAGACACCCCCCCCCCTTCTACAACGAAGTCTGAATATTGAAATTGAAAAATGATGATACATGCCTGTAGTGTTACTGTAGTGTTTATCGTTATCAGACGAACAATATGGTACTTGTACGTTTTTTTTTTTCTTTCCTCAACAAAATTAACTTGCTTTATACATATATCTGAGGTCAAGGTTTCAAATCTAAAATTTTAAGTGAACGAATTTTAAGTTGCTGCAGAGACGTTTTTCAGACCGGCAGTCTCCTTGTAGTTCGATGCTACAGCCTCTTCTCCTCCAAAACTTTTTGTAAAAAGAGTCTTTCTCAGATCATCAGATCAGTTTATTTAGAAGTTTCTTTAATTCAAAGGCCGGGCGCGCCCTCAATTCCCACATTTCGTTGCAGTCAGGATAAGCACTCTTATGTTTTAATACCCAGTTTTAATGAAGTTGGACCCCCCCCCCCCCCGCCACATACATGATTTAATTATACTGAATTTGTGAAACTTCACGTTTTTGTCAATTGTTTTCTGACACCCCCCCCCCCCCTCGTGCCTATTAACCATTTTGACTTAAGCTGGCCTTTTCTTTTCAGGACGTCAAGAAAAGTTTGTGTGTGCATGTGTGTCAATGATAAATTTATACGTGATATATAGTGAAGCTTGATTTGATAGTAAAATATATCCGTGTTAGTAAGAAAATCAGTCTTTAAATTCTGTGTTCAGTTTGGGATTTTTACAGGCTCTGCAAGTAAAGTAAAAGTAATAAAAAGAGAAAGAAAACAAAGTAAAGACTTACCTGAAAAACTTTAACAAGCAAAAAGAAAGGGGGGGGGGTGATGCTCAAACTTGACAATTTTTTTCAGAAGAAAATGGGTAGGGGGAGGGCCCTCATACGCCCCCACCCCCCCCCCCCCCCACCCGGAATAATGGACGTGCGTTTTTTAATCACTCGGAGATTACTCAAATTTTATGAAATAAGTGTCATCTTGTGTTCAGTAAACATTAAGCATTAAGAATATACACACATTTAATAATTACTGCATTTTTCTAACTTTGTGGTGGTTTTTCAGAGATGAAATAATAATAAGAAGAACATCAATAAATTCTGTTTCATATTACATAGAATATATCGCTCTATCAAATTGTTTCTCTCTCTCTCTCTCTTCAGTCCTACTTTTGCAACCCAATTAAATAATAATCCATGTCTAAAATGTTGATGTTTCTATTTTAACTCCAAATTCCCTTGCTTCAATTAATATTAGAATAAAAAAAATAATTAAATATTGACCAAAAAGCAATAATGAAGCCCGATAATCGGCCTTGAAAATCTTTTTAACAGGCGAGTGAGACCTTGATAAAATGATTCATAATTGTACATTCCATAGAAATGTCTAATAAGCCTAATTTACCTGAATGATACCTGACTGATACCTGAAGGATGACGTCACGGACAGCTAGGTGGCGCTGCAATTTAAGCGTTGGGATATTTTGATAACCGACATGATCTGAAATACGACTGTTTACACGGACCAGCCAAAGAACCGATGGTAAGTTGGTCGAATTTTATTAAAAAAGGGAAAAGCACATGTGTTGAAAGAGCCCAAGCTTTCTTAACTGCGAGAAGAAATTCGCAATTTACCTGTGCACGTTGTTGCACCTGAAAAACCGATTTCCGCATTGCAGCACTATCAAAACAATTCCTGTGTATTTGAGTTTTGGGGGCCTAGGGTGTGGCAGTTATGACATATCTGTTATTTTACCCGAGTACTCCTCAATTACCCTGCGAAACAAAGGGCAATTACGGAGAAAACGAGAAAAATTGTAGAGAAAACTCTTCATCAAGGGAGGATACTCCTGCAAATTTCAAAAAATAAATATGGAAAATTTATTTACAATCTTTTCATTGGGTGTATAGTATATTAAAAGATGTATTTGTTTTTTTTTAACAAAACGATCAATTAATTTTGAAGTAAAATTACAATAATGCAAAAATTGACAATGTAACCTAGCTATAGCTTTCATCAAAGACATATTCAATACCTTCAGATTTTTTTTTTTTTAAGTTTTTGACAGTATGTGTGACAAAATGTTCTGTCTTGTGTGTCCATTTTATCACACTTTGGGTTAGATTGGCAGAGGAGGGCAGGTCACACTGAAGTCACAATTTCCTAAATATATACATTTGTACAGACCTGTAGTAAAAGTTTGAGGTGAATTTGCAGAGATGGTCCATTGGAATGGGGTTGCTCTAGGAATTACTATCACAATCTTCCTCTGAAGAAAAACTCTTGTGAAAATTCTTAATTCATATGTTGAAAGCACAGTGCTAGATATCATTTATTTGAAAAATGGTTAGAAAATAAAATTTCAAAGATGGCAGGGTGCACCAGAGGTAAAAACAATTTTGGCAGATAGGGGACAAGTCAACCCTATAAGACCTCCCACCCACCCCCTCTCGCAAATAAAGTTAAAATGGCCTTGATACTGCAGGCAGAAAAATTGAAAAATCAAAATTTAAATATAAAGTCGTCAATCAAAAACAAATTTATTTACATGGATATTATGCTGGTGTAAGGTCATTCACGCTATGATAGTGGAAAATACTAAATGTAAACTTTTGATCATGTTCCAATATTCTAGACAACTAGCTAATTAAAAAGTTGTTATGAAGGTTAGCTATTGTAAAAATCAATGTACTGAGGTTTAAATTATATGTATTTTATTTTGACATTTCAGAAATGGGAGACAACAGAAGAATTGCGCAGGTCCGCACGGCTCGTTCAGTCATCTGCCGAGTCCTTCTCCTTGACGGAAAGTTATTCGAAATAGATGTGGATGTAAGTATAATAATAAAATATGTAAGGTTGCAGAGAGAAAAGTAAAGAAAATAGGTCAGAAGAAGTTTGTCATATATTTAATTAAATTTTTATATGCCAAGGAACAATGTTCATTGTTGTCAGTTGTAATTGTGCTTTGAAAGTGGGGCACGGCACCCCTCCATTTCCCTGTAGCTAGACCACTGGAGCAGTTGAGTTTAATAAACTAAGGAGGAAATACTTCTGTAAAATGATTAATATTATCATTGCTTAAATGTTATTGTTTTTCTTTTTTGTGTTTGGAAGGAAAAAACTCAAAGTAAATTGTCTTATATTCCACAGAAACGTGCAGTCGGTCAGATTCTTTTCGACAAAGTGTGTGAACACCTGGATCTTGTGGAGAAGGACTATTTCGGACTCTCTTTCACCGGACTCCACACCGGACTCAGGGTAAGTTACCATGGTTACCAAACAGGTGCTCTTTCCCCACCCATCCCCTGAGGAAGTAAAAAT